GAAATTTTTATAGTTCATCAATCAAAATTTTAATAAATCACACTGAAAAAAAAAGTAAAAGCTTGGCTTATATGCCCTTGTCAAGACGAAATACAGATAGCACAAAATAGAGAAAGACCTCACAAACGCATATCCTGCTGTCTGGTATTATTCGAAACATCTACTTCCACATTACAATAGATAGTTTTTCTTTAATTTGAGCTATCTGTTCTTCAACTTGACTAGGGCTTACATTAAACTGCACCTTGTAATGAGCATACAAGCCAGGATATCTACAGTGTGCAAAGAAAACGGACCATCCTGAATAACGTTTGATCTAATGATCGGATCTTCACGTTCTAATACTCTGTCTTCATAGCTCGAGGGGGTGACCTCAAACATGCTTATTAAAAAGTGCAAACGATATTTTAAGACACAAAAGCATACTTTTTCTGAATAAACATATCTTTGTTTGACGGAATCGGACTTCTGACCCCCGAAATATCAGCAATCTGGGAAATATGGTTCTAGTAGTTTGATCAGGAGAGCGGTCCAAAGTTTGGACCTCTGAATATTAATTTTACTTTTTGCATATTTCGCTATGCACACAATTATAAAATTCATTCATTTGTCCAAAGATAACTCCACACAAAACATAACTATTTGTATTTATTGATTATTTTATTTAACAGCGGTTAAAAAAAATTTTGATTTGTAAGGTATACAATTTTTTTGTATCATTTCAAAGAATATAAATTTACTTGACAAAATGCTAAATTTGGTCGAATAGTTCCTGAAAAGTTGAAATTTAAATAATCTGACTTTTTTTAAATTAAATTTCTCACTACTATTCAACCTTTTTTGCTCAAATTTTGTATCTTTGCCACGTAAAATTAGATTCTTCAAGATATAGGAAAAATTGTATACCTAACAATTTAAATTTTTTTCGATCATCATTAAATAAAATATTAAATATTTACTAAAAGCCATTTTTTGCATGGAATTCCTTTTGGATAGACGGATTTTATAATTGTGTGCAAAATTTTTTCAATTCGCTTAAAAAGTTCTCAAGATATGGGGAAATACGCAAAAAGTAAAATTAACATTCAGGGTTCCAAACTTTGGATCGCTTTAATATATCTGAACTTTAATTTAATATTTGTTTATCTTTAAAATTTTTTCTAACAAAATCAAATTAATACGGTTTTGCAATCAGTAGTTTTTGAAAGGTAATACAATAACATACAATTCTCTGTTTTTAAATATTTTTATAAATATCTTTATTTTTGTGCTTATTTACGTTATAAGAATCTTCCAAATGGGTTTTAATCAGTTTAAATCATAATAAATTAAATTTTGTAAAATCTAAAAGCTAACAAATATGCAATTTTAAATTACTGATTCAAAGATACAAATCGCAGATTTTCATTGATTTAAAGCTTTGAGGAGAATTTCATAAATGTTTCAAAAATTATCAAGCTTTATTTCTTCCTAATCAAATAAAGCGACCTCTTTATTTTTCACTTTTTTAAAAAGACATTATGCTGGGGTTACTAATAATTATACTATAATTTATAATACTATATCATCAAAAGTTTTTTAAGCGCAAAAGAACATTAAGAGAACGAAAACAAAAAAATTTAACCTAAAATTCAAGATGGCGCTGGTAAAAGTCTCAGAAATGATTAAAAAAATCCAAAATATTTAATAAAATATTCTTGATAATATGGTCCTCAAGAGGTCTTCAGATCTTTATACAATATAAACATAGGCATTAAGGTAAGGAGAAAAAAAAGTCATTATTTTTTTTAAAAATAATAAATAAAAAACGTTTTTTCCCCCCAGTTTTAAATGTATTTTATATTTTTGAAATGTAATTAATAGTTGGATTACTTGAAACATTTTATTAATATATATTTACGAAGTCTTTATCAAAACTATTTCAAAAATTTTACTATTTTCAAAATAAAATATCTTTCTTAGTTAAAAAAAAGTATAAAAAGTAATTACTAAGAACTTGGTGCACATTGTAAAAATTATGCGGTCATACAAATGAAATTTAAAAATTACAAATTTTTAGGCAAAGTTAATTTTATTAGATGAGATTTATACTAAAAATTAAAATAGGAATAATAATATACATATTTTACGTTGCCTTACTTTTTGCCTAAGCTTTGTTGTGTTATTTCTTAGTTAAAACTGTGAAAGAAAATAGATTTTATTTTATGGAATATTTATAAGACACTGGGATTATAAATTAATTTTATTTCAATTCTGAGCCCGAAACTCTGTATGCACAGGATGTTCCTTAAAGATCGCTCTTAATCTATATATATTTTTAGAGTCCTTAGCTGAAAATTTAAAAAAAAAGAAGTAAGAAATACATAATTGGTTTGTAAATAATGTTAAGGTGTTGATAAAATAAAAACGATATCGAAATCTTTCAAATCTCCAGTGAGAAAGATGGGAACGAAAACATTAAAACCAATTTGATTGCCTGATGAATTTTGGAAGTGTTTATTGTTCTAATAACCATCTCAACTCCTCTCTGTTTCCTCTGGCCTCTGGCAATCAAACCGTTTTTGATGTTTTCAATTCCGCTTTCCTTAGTAGAGATTCGTAAGATTAAAATAACGTTTTCGATTTTTTTGGCATAAGTATTATTTTGCAATCTTTAATGCAATACTTTCTATTTTTGACTGCACTTCAGATAAGGATATAAAAAGTACATAGTAAGGGTGGTTATTACGGAACATTCTGCTGAAAAATGAAGACACAATAGAAAATGATAGTTTGTATTAGAGTTATTTTATTTAATTTTATTATACATACAAGGAGGGAAAATAAACCTTTTGTTTAATCAATGTGACACGTGTAATTATGTTTCGCCAATGCTTTACACTTTTAAAGCAAGATTTTGTAATTCAATGTTTTAAACGTGACGTTTTAAGCGTAACACTCTCGGATATAAATAAGAAAAAATTAAAATAATCAAAAGAACAGCTGCTATGATCAATGATATTACTTTTTATGAGTGCTCATTTTTTTCTCTTTCGTTTATAAATATCTATTTAAATATATTTTATTGAGTAAAAAAAAACTGATTAATACCTTCATGTTTTTGAAATACTAACAGGTAAAAAGTATTCTATATGTCTTAATGAAGTTAAATTAAATCTTAAAATTTAGTTTAATTTCTCTTTACTTTTACGTTTTCTAGGGATTTAGTTCTATCCTGGTGGCTGCTGACCACCCAGTTTCAAATGGATGGTCAGTAGCTTTTCTGAGAAGCAAGTGTCATCACCGTTCAATGCTGACCACCTTGAAACCATTCTTGCCTTTGGTTGACGGTGACCCCCTTGACAGACTACGACATGTTACTATACTTAAAACTTTTCATATTTTTAGTTGATGTTTCACTTAAATTTTGTTACTAACGCGTGAATTAAGTTAGTGTTTTTTCCACATTTTCTCCTTAAAAAAATGTTTATTATTATTTTTTTTATTCTTAGTTTTCATTCCATTTTTTCATCTTTAGTTTTTAATCTATTTTTTTTAATTTTTTTCCTTCTCTTTTTTTATTTTATATTTAATATTTTTCACGGTTTTTTTCACATTCGGCTATATTTCGTTTCATAGCTAGTACGCTCTACAAAGAATTGCTTACCCTGTGTGTGAGTACATGCATTGTGTAGTCGAAGTTATACAATTGGTGGTTAATTCGTGAACTCTATAAATCAATTGTAGTTCAATTTTATATATATATATATATNTAATTGCGTTGCAGTTATCGGGGGTTGACGAGTGGAAGCGAGCATGGGGCATATATATATATATATATATATATATAAAATATTCATTTATATTAGGTTAAATAATTCACCAATTTTGTATTATAAAAATTACTGGAAGTAGCGTAGGATTTTATTTACTAAAATAGATATAAAGAATATGATTTTATATAGAATTATAATAATCGAAATATCGAGTAATATTATTAGGTTTGGATCCGATGTATATGCATAGTGTATAAACATAGTGTATAAACATAGACTGATTAAGAGTGAGCATTCGCGGCCCGAGGTCCCTAACTTGAGAGGGTCCTCTAAATAACAATTTAATAATTTTTTTAAAAACTTCATTTGATTATTTGTAATATTTCTATTACACTATTAAGCCACATCACTTTTTGTTGTGACAAGAGCTTTATCATAATCCTTGCTTGTTTTTATAATCACCATAATTATATATTAATAATCTATTTCTTTATTTTATTAATTGCTTAAAGAGTGTCCTGGGCCCCAGAATCTATCCTTACGCACAAAACGGAAAAGTATTCAAATATTATTTCATCAGTCAATGATGTGTCATAAAAGTAATAAACGGAAAATGATTTCCGCTAAAAAAAGTTATTTTTTAAGCACTCAGTTTAATTAAAGCTCTAAGTTAAGTAATTTTTCTAATGATCCACTTACGTGACAAAGTATGATAAAATGCTTTGGAAGTCACAATAATTAATCAACGCTTTACGCCAATAAAATGAGAAAAAGCGCAAACTAGCAATACCAACGATTACTAAGGCAACCCTATATCAAAACTTTTACTCTTTCCGCCAATGAAGAGCGAGTGATGATATCAACGTCATACTGAACGTCACAATTTTCCCACCCATCCATACCGCGATTCGATCTTCAAATTAACCACAGGAGAGGAACGTACCTCAGAGGGAAAAAGTTGTAAAACTTTTTTTTTCTAATAATCTATCCCTAAAAATATCGTCCTCGAATCTTTCCCCCTCTCTCTATCTCTAGTCCTAAAAGCTCTAAATAGGCTAGTTCGGAATTTGTTCCCATAGGGGAAACATACCAATTCGTCTCATGCCGCAGTACCGTCCGTGATCGGTGCTCGCTCAACCAACCTGCCAATTCGCCTGTTGTATAATTACTACCGATGCAGGTATCAGAAAGAATTAGCTTTTTTAAATGCCTCGCTGTTTCATCGGACGACCGGCTTGATCATCTATAGACATTGGATATTTACTTGTTTTGATATTTGTGATACGTTTGTGACTGTGATAGTTTTGCTCCGTCCATTTATTATTTGGTCAACAATTATTAGTTGATTTTTGTTCAAGTAAAACTTTTGACTCATGCAGAAAAATTTTGAAGCGAATTCAGACCCATCGAAGGGGTCAAACATTTTGTAGTGTAATTAAACAATGGATGCTAGTTTTTATTTTGTACCAGCAGATGAAAACAGTGAAGAATTAGGTGATCAGATTGTGCCAAGTACAAAATTGACTTTAACTAATAAGCAGTATGAAATACCACATCCGTTCAAGCCCTCTATTTTGACTGTAAGTAAAACATTTTTATTTACCTTTCTTTTGTAGATAACTTGTTTAAAATTCTGTACACAATCTACATTTTAAAGATGTACATTTAAAGGCTAAATTTATATCTGAAAATTTATTTAGTTAACTAAAAACAAAATTTTTTCGTAATTTGCATTATAATATGGGGAATTGACTAGGAATTCGTTTATATTAAAGCGAAATCAAGGTTTTATAAGTTTAATTTGTTACGACCAGAATTACTAACACTGGGTTCATATCAGTAAATATTGTAATCCGGTGTTCTTATTTGCTATTTACTTTTATTAGTGTTTAGATTCGTGATTTTAGATTATTATTTTATAATCTAAATTTTAATAGATATTAGATTTGTAATTTTAAGTAGAAATTTCTACTGAAATATTATAAAATTGCTTGTTGTAAAAAAACATTGCTTGTTGTAAAATACCCAAGTTGATTTAACGTTGTTACAAATCGTTGATGCAAGTTGTTGTTTCAAAATTAGTGCCAGAAATTTGTTAGAAGGGGTTGTAAATCTTGAGTCCAAGACACATATCTTGTGTTTCTCGGCGTGCACAAGAGATATGTAAAAAAAAAAAAAACTTTTTGTTAATAAGACTGAAATGTTTCAATTTACATTTGGCGATAGGTATTGTTTATTGATAAATTAGTTATGTATCTAATTCGCCTGATTTGCAAGCTATATGTGCTGCTGTGTGTACATGGGTGTCGCAGAGGCCCAATGTTTAAAGGGGGACGAAATTAAATTACAGTCACAATAGGGGGTTCTCTTAATTTCACACGTTCAGAAACAGTATATTAATTATGTTAAAGTATTTGAATAAAGATTCCTTATTTTATCTCTTTCTTGTTTCTATCTTTAGTGAGTTTAATTTGATAGTAATTTTCTTGGTGTGAAATATTGATTGGGACTTACAAGAAATTTCTAATTAGTGAGGGGGGCATATATACCGCCCCCCCTTCAGAAGCGCTTATGAATGCATAATAATGTAGCTATTGTTGTTTTATCGATTGCAAAAATATTCATAAATTCCACCATAATGCCATGCTTCCGTATTTGCATATTTCATTGGTTAATTATAAACTTATATTTATCAAAATATATTTCAAGCTCTCATTTTCTGATATACTATTGTGAAAGGCCGATAATTTCGTGGCTGATTAACTGGGATTTCAATAAAACCGAGTTATTATTTTTAAATTTGAACTTTTTTGTTTCAACTCTTCTTGATATAGAATTACTAGTCTCTAAACAAGATATATTAACACCAGATTACTTATTCAATTGTACTTCATTACACTTTTGACATTTAATATGTGACAATATGGTTGCAAGATGGAACTGCATTTAACTGGAATATTTAAATAGGACAAAATAACATTCATTCCCTTAATCCTTTAGAATGGATAGATTTCATTTTTTTTTTTTTTTTAATAATTGAAATACTTAAAAGTTGTTTGCATTTCAATACGAGTGGGGTTTCTAGTTGTTAAACTTCAGCTTGCATGCAATAGCAAAATAAATTAAATAGACTCAAAAAGTACTCACATAAGCTAAAAAAAACCAAAAGAAAATAAATCTGATCTGAAATAAAACAGTAAAAATACCACCAAGCTGCTGAGTTTTCATTAAATAGTATAACTGCCTTAAGAAAAGCAAGTCCAAATTCTTTTCTTGGTGCAGGTGTTAGATCTAATTTATTATTCTAATTATGAACCTTGTTTGTTCAAATATAACTCTTTTTCTTGTTTTAAAATTATTTGTTTTGTCTATCACTAGTTAGAATAAATTATAAATGTTCACATTAATAGATGAATAAGAAAGCAGATGAGAATTTGTCTTAACACAAGCTGCTCAGATAATGTGTCTTTTTTTTTTTCATCACTAAAATTATTTTTGTGATTGCTTAATATTGTACTTACTGCATAGTTTTTCTTCATTTACTTTAAATATGATTTTGGAACTGCAGTTATTCCATGATGTTGCAGATCAATGGGGTTTTCTGCTAGTGGAAAAAAAAAGCAAATATTTTTAAACCTCATGCCTCTAACAGAATGCGTGCCAACAAATTTAAGACAATTATTTCGATTTTAGTTTAGAGTGTTGTAATTGAAGAACATGAAATCAAAAAGTCAATAACTGAAAAAATAAAAGTAAATCTTATTTCTATTCATTGATCTAATAAAATCAGTTCACTCAGAATTTGACAGATCAAATAGTTGCTACAATCCAAATTTTCCTTCCGAATCTGTTGCAACTTATTAGTAGTATTTTTTCATTATAATTAAGTGGTAATTAAAACTCATTGAAAATTATCTATTATTAGGATATATATCTTTATGAGAATATGGTAATTTGATATTTGTTGTTGACTTAAAATTATGCTAAAGCAGCCTAATGGTATTTGCTAATTCTTTTTACATACTAGAAATATATGTATACTAATCTGTTTTCTGTGTTACTTGCTTTGTAAAACCTTTTGCGAAGTGTTGTTGTAAATGGTCTAATCGGCCGTTTACGCATCAAGAAGAATATCATGTCTCTTATTATCTTTTGAAAAGATCATTCGATTTTGATCTTTTAGAGGCGCGGTAAGCTTGGTTTTAATTTGTTTAATTATTACGAAATCAGTTTCTAATTGCATTCTTTTTTCTAATTATATAATATTAACTTTTTATGTATATCTTTAAAATAAAGATATATATTTGCTTTTATTATGATAAAGCATCCAGAAATTCGGAAGTCCTGGGTTCTAAAGAATCGTAGTATGTATAAGTCTAGCAGAATCAATTCCTGCCCTCTAAATAATAATAATAAAAATAAAAAAAATAAGTTAGAAAAAAAAGGCCATTATACGGTTTATATTGTTCTAGTAATTTCATATTTTCCATTCAATAGTGGAATGCTTATTGGTAGCTAATTAACAGTAATAGTAATTAACTTATCTTCATTATTATTATAAATTTAATATATTGCAGAGTACACCTTATTTTTTATGAAATACTTATTTATAACGGAAAAGCGTGTGTGTTTCGGTTATTATCTGGCCATATTTATACTATCCATATTTAAACTTGTTGCACTGAAAACTAATTTATAGAATCTAACTAATAATAACGTAATGTTCTATGGAAATAACTATAATGAGAAAACACGAGGAAAAATACCACTCAGTTTTAGTTAATTAAATGTTTCTAAAATTGCAAAATGTGCACCGAGTTCAATTATTATTGTTGTTTAAAGTTGTAATAATTAAGACCAAAATGATTAAAGCTGTTAACAATTTTATACGGAATCCAAAATTGTTGGAATTTAACTGATACTCATGATTACCACAAATTGAATGTATAAATCTGGTACGCATGAGTACAATAAATTGAATGTACTACTAGACACAGAATGATTTAATTATCGTTACATTTATGGCGAGAAATTTCAATTGTTATCTGTGTTTTGATATCTACATTTAAAAATATATGTTAACCAAACCCTTCATACAATGGATATTTACCGTTTGGATTGGAAATCACCATTTTTGATTATATATGGTGGAAAAAGTTTTCAATCATTTCTGCATTGTGTAAAGATATTTTCTACCCGAGAATAAGGCGAGTTAGAAAACAAATAACTTCTTCTCAAGAAGAATTAAATGTTTGTTCTACTTTCTGTGTACTGAAAGGCCTTTTATTCAAACAAGTAAAAATTTTAAGAGAAAAAAAAAAGAATCAATGTAGTTATTTTCTTAACTTGTTTCATGTTGTTATTCATTCGAAATCGCGGTTAAATGTACTGCATGAAAGACAACAGTGGTTAAGCTTCTTTTTCGGTAAACTTGAGTTATTTTGTGTTTTAAATATGCAAATGGGAAATTAGCATAAATTTTATGAAATGAAAGCCAATAGTTATAATAGACTTATTTTAAGAAAATTTCATGTGATACTAAATTTTTAATTATTATGCACTTTCAGTTAGTAAAAAACGCACAACATTCATAGCGTTTTTCTTATATATATTTTTTTTATTGAAAGAAAAAATACTTCATGTTTGCCATTAAATTATGTATTAATTTGAGAGTAAAAACTTAAAGATACAATATCATTGCAAAATAGAAATTTAAGCCTATTACTTCATCAAGAGTAAGTTAAAAAAAATGATATTAAGCGTTTATCTATTATACCAAGAGCTAAAATTTGAAAAGATTAAGGGATTAAGTCAATTAAATAATTCACCTCGTAATTGTTTTCCTAAATAAGACTTGCTGTGCACAAATAAAAGTATTTTGTGTGTATTATATTTTTTAGGTGTCGACGATATCTTTGATACTTTTTTCTGATCTTAATTAGTTGTTTGTGCGCATTAATTCGTCTTGTTAGTGTGTTTCGATCTTTAAAACTGTAGTTCACATAACTTTTGTTCCTCAGTTTGGTAAACTATTTACTTTACTAAACAGAGTCAAGGAAAGTTGTTAAGGACTCTTAAACTTCGCACTTTTACTTACATTAATTTTTTTTTTTTTTTACTAACTTGCACATTTTTAATCACGGTATTTAATTTATATATGTATTGTGGGACATTAAGCACGCACACACACATGTGTACTGTGAATGTTGTGATTTATATGATGATTATAGCGAGATAATGGGAAAGCTAACTTTCCCATAAGTATTTCGTAATAACTACCGTGTAATTAATTATCAGAGTAATTTTATGTGAGTATCTATTATAAAATATAGTATCTTTAATGTTTTCATTCTCTTGTTTTGAAAATGGCAATAATTTTTTTAATAAAGTATACCGGATTTTTAAATCTAAGATAATATTCTATTTCGAATAAGAGTAATTTCATGTTTGAAAAAAAAAAATTCTTCATAATTACATTTCTTCCAAAAACACATTACTAATTTATAACATATTGGGGTCTTATATAAATTTCCTCGGTTTTTAGTGTCTTAAATGTGTACAATTTTACACATAGTTTCCG